CATAACAAGAGAGATAGAGAGAAAAAGAGTAGAGAGAGTGTATTCATACTGGCTTGTGTGAGTTGTAACATTCGGTTTATCCTCTTCTTCTAGTTCATTCTCCTGGCTTGGTTCGCCCCCAGACGTAGGATTTAATCCGAACTGGGTTAACAAACTTTCGTGTCTTTTATTGATTTCACATTGGTGTGTTATTATTATTCCATCTTATCCGACCTTATTTCCCAACAATTCGTGAAGGATGAAATTTGGACCTTTTTTTGACGGTCTCTAGTATTGTTTCTTCTGAAGCTCTGTCAACGGGCATGTTTTTGCAAGGTTTTGATGTAGTGATCTGTTGGTTCTGAAATTTGTTTAAGCGTATAAATGTCTTCTTAATTGACATTTATTTCAAGATATCAGATTCTTTCAGAAGTGGTATGACGTTTGGTAATTCAAACTCACAAATAGCTTTCTGTATAATTCTTTCTCACCCGGACGGTTATAGTTGGGTGTCAATTGCAAACTTGCAGGCATTCTTCATTACCAATATGGAAGCAATCAAATTTTGGGAATTTATGTCTCTAATTCTTGAAGGTCTTGGTTATGAAAGGTACTCTTCTATTTTGACGTAGTGAACCCTTCTCTTTCCCACCCCTGATGTTAAGCAATTATGTTAGTTTTATTTCTGATCTTTTGTAGCGTGCAGGCCAAAAATTAAGATTCCTGCCTCTGTCATGATGCCAATTGCGCAAATGGTGGAGCTGATATACAAACTTTTAGGCCCTTATGGGATGAAGGTGCCACAGTTGACACCTTCAAGGATTCGACTTCTCTCTATCAGCAGAACCTTTGATTGTTCTAAAGCAAATGACCTTATTGGCTATACACCCATCGTGCCACTCCAGGTTTACACATGACCCTTAATGAGTTAGCTCTATCGTTTTTGCTATAAAGTACTTGTAAGTTGTGACATGGAGTTTAGCCATTTCAATCAAGTTTGTCACATCATTATATCAGATTATTTAGACTAAATTTGGCTCGATTAATGTTTTGTACACTTAAACAATGTAACTTTGTTGAGCTAATGACACGGAGAATTTCTTGTCTTTATTAAATTGTTTGAGATTCATTTTCTCGTTACAGATACGTGATAAACTTTATTTTCCAATAATAAGAAGTAGCCTGAGTAATGGTTAAATGCAGTGTCCTAGAATATGTTGCTTCATGAGATGATTTGGTACAAATAATATATTACCCATGACAATGTTTCCTTCTGCAGGAGGGCCTTAGAAGAACTATTGAATCATATCCACACTTGAGGGCTAATGTTCGAACTAAAAAGGATGGGCCATCTAAAGCTGAATTACTTCTTGGCCGTGGAAAAGGTGAAAGTATTTATTTATTTTTTATTTGTGGAGCTTCTTTTTCCTCACTGGAATAGTTACATAATGCTTTTAGATCCCATTTGGTTTAATGAGCTTCATCCTCAGCACTCGTTATTTATGTATGTGGATTATGTGGCATCAATTTGCGTACGCGTTACGAAGATCCAAATTGGTAGCTTGAAATAATGTTTTAGCTTGCCAAATTCCAAAAGAATGAAAGCTGTTCGCGGTTAGAACACCAGAAATACGTTTGAGGTCATTCAGGGGTTTTGTGTTCTTGAGTAGTTAGATCAGTTTCTTTTTTATTTTTCCTTTTCTTTTCCTGGGGGGCTTATCTACTACAAAAATACAAATTCCTTTTTAGGGTAAGTGAAAAAACCACACACACACACACACACATCCATGGGATCCGGCCCCAATACAACCCTGGGACTGTTTGTCCGGAACTACGTCGTGAAGTAAAACACTCGGGCTAAAGCCGAGCCCTGTCTGGTAATTATTTAAAAGCAATAAGATTGCAGTTTTGGTATTAATAAACACAAAACTGGTCACAGAAGTTGCCAATGGTGAAGTTCCATTGCAGGTGGTTCAGCAAAAATGAAGAAGAATAAGGATTTTGGTCAGAGCTTAATGCAAGTCTTTGAAACAAATTATGACTGTCTCGCTATGCCTATTTGCTATATAATCTTATCACAATTTAACTTACTTCACCAGTTCAGATAATTAGAATGAGAGTCTTCTGCATGTTTATTCTATTTGTGTTACATATGTAATCAACACCCTGACTTAGCTATTTGACAGACCTGGGTAGCATTAAATTAATCATGTTCATGATGGCTCTTGCAGTTGCTGACACTCTACTATGGAGGGACAAAAGGCAGACACTTACTTTAATACTGATATTGGCCGCATTATATTTCAATTTCATAACAACTGGGTGTACCCTCGTTACTGCAGTTTCCAAGCTTCTATTACTGGCGTTAGTTTTCATTTTCATTCAAGGCAGACTGCCACAGAAAATGTACATATGCCAACTCCACTTCTTTTTCTTTGTTTATAAGGTCATTCAATATTTCCTTGAACCTGTGGAGCATTAGATGTAACAGTGAGTGAATGCTTACTTCTGATTATATCTTGGTGCAGATTTGGATATAAAATTGAAAAGATTCCCGAGTCAAAGTTCAATGTCTCAGAAGCTGCATCTCGGAAGGCTGCTCTTTCAGCAGCTTCCAGTTGGAATTCTGCTGTTAGTGATCTAAAATCACTTTGTAAAGGAAACGACTCTATGCTTTTCCTGAAGGTAATTTGTTGGAGCTTCCTTGTTAAATCAGTTTGAGAATTGATTATATTCGCACGTTCCTTAATTTCAATAATATATACATTTTACTTAACTCTATTTGCAATGCTGACATGCCAGCAAATTTTTGAGATGGGTGTTACTGTACTTAAATTGAGAATGAGTTGGCAACAATTCCCAGTGTAAAACCCACTTCTACATAAAAAGCACATCCACTTTTTCCTGGTAACTTGCTTGTATGTCAACCAAAATAGAAGTTGCTACTCATTTTCAGATGGCTACAAAAAGGTGGACTGTGACTTATAGTTTAAAATTGCCATCTCTGTGTTTGATTCTTTTTGTTAGTTGACAGTTTCTACAATTTTCCTTTTGTTCCTGAAATAGGTGGCTTTCTCTTTATTGCTTCTCAGCGTGCTTGGTGCAGTTTCATTACGTAATGCCTTCACAATAGGTATTGGTCTATGCTCAAATGTTCTGTTTCTTTTTATGAATTCACGTTTCTACCTTGTGGAGGGCTGAAATACTCTGTTTTTCTTCGTTTTTTTCCTGGTTATTGGTTGCTGAGTGAATAACATTTTCACTGTGATATTTTACACTGATGTTATAGTTTTTAAACCATTTTACTCCTTTTGTCTATCAATTTCGCAGGACTACCACTAGCCTTTATTTCATTCGTCGTGTATGAGAAAAAGGAGGAAGAGGTTGATAATCTAGTCCTAAAACTTGTCTCGTTTGGATGCAAATTGAAGTCCAAAGTCACTGGAAAGATTTCCAACTCAAAGAAACAACTGTAGTTGAAGGAAGTCCAGTGTCAACGTAATTGATGAAGTGACTTGGGTAATATCAAATACTTCAGTTTTATCACCAGTTTTACGAGGGTGCACAACGAGACGATATATGCCATAACTTTCTATTCTTTATTTTTGGGGCAAATGGTGAGGTCACCATCTTCTCTTAACACTGTGAGTACAGTTAGCACGTTTGTTGTGAACTTTGAATTTGTTCTTTTATCACGGCTGTTTTGGTTCTTCCATATCTAAACGCGGTTTGTCGTCTGCACACTCGGGTTTGCTTAGCCTCAATAGAAAATGATTCCTTGCTGCATAATATGTCGTACACGATAACGGTGAAATTCATTTGGCCAATGAATGAGTATGAGATATAATTGGGCGCCACTAACAGAAATATGAATTAATGTATGATGTATCAGCACGCATATCGCTTATAGCTTGTGCTTGGTATCATTGCGAATTGACTTGCAGTATATTTAATTTATTTCGTATCTATATTATCTTTAAGTAGGCGACCCGAATCCAGATGGTTGGGTACAGATCACCCACCTTCAGATTTATTCTTTGTATTAGTTTTGCATATATTTATATATTATGATTTTGACATAACCATAAACTTAACAAACCAAATTATCATGACACCCTATCACATAGGATTGTTTAGCAGACAAGTAATGGTGAGAAGTTGTCAACAATAGCCCTCTTATGATTTCATATTAATTGGTGATGGTAAATATTTGGACCCCTTTAATTAGTTGTTAGCACTATCTTGAGGTCAAACTACTATACTATTGATGTTTGAGGAATTTGCAGGCGGTATGTGTAGTTTCAGTTTTTATTGCATAAATATAACAAAATGGTAAATATTAGCATGTTAACATAATCTAATGATTTTATTTGCAAAAATACTTAAATCTGATGCAATCAAGATAATGCATAATTAAGGGAAAAAATTTATCACATTCCAAATAACTACTCCTCATTTAATTGGTAAGATTTGTTCTCTCACACATCGGTAACTCTCACTTTCAACAAGTCAACACTTCTTCCTCATCTCTAAGAGCATCTCCAATGTTATAACTTTGAAAGACAATATTTTTTAACACATGTCAATCAATGATTGAAATGTTAATCCACGTAAGAATAATGTTAAAAGAGTAGAAATTTGAATCAAATTAGTATCTCCAATGAATCAATTTGATAAGAAGTTATTTGTATAGGTGGATCAACTCTAATAATTATTAATACAAGAATAATAAAAAAATAAATCAAATATAAAGTGAACTGATTAGTCATCATGTTTAACATGGTGTTAGGTATTAGAAAGTGTGCTCATCATTGTCAACATTAAATGCTATTCACATCATCATGAAAGAGCTCATGACAAGATGCATTGGAGAACAATTTAGTAACACACTTTCAAATATTGATGATATGGATAAATATTTATAATGTCAAAAGTCACACTGGAGATGCTCTAACCCAAAACGTTGTAATTGAAACCCTATCTCCCTCATCTCTCCCCCAAAACGCCTTGTACACCTGATTTCGCACATTGCAAGAACTAAGATCGGAAGAAGTCCAATCTCCGGCTCCGAGTTACCTCCTATCTCTTATTCTCTATTCTTCTCTCTAGGGATGTCAATAAAACCCGTAGGGTCGGGTTACCCACGGGTTACCCGCATTTTCGGGTCGGGTAAACCCGAGACGATCGGGTTTTGGGTCGGGTCGGGTACGAGTATAGTAGAAAAACCCGCTACCCGACCCGATTACCCTACCCGTTTACCCGCAACCATTGAATATTATATATACACGTATATATGTATTCATAAATTATTATAAATATAAAAGTAGTCATGTGTTACTAGTATAAAAATTAGATTATTTATTATAAGTTTGATTAATGGTTAATTTTTTTTATGATTTTATAATCAATTTTTGTTAATTGTATGATAAAAAATTTAATACTTAATTTTTAAATATAATATTATTAAAATTGACTATACAAGATAAATAATTATATCTCCAAAAATAATATAATAGTTTTTTATAGTTTTTTATTGTCGAACTTAGTTAATAAATTGTTTGTTACATTATAATTAATTGTGAAATTATTTTATTTTATTTTTAATATGAAACGAGATGGATCTAGTAAAGCACAAATTTAAAAACTCGGGTTACCCATTTACCCGAAGAAAACCCACTAACCCGCCGGGTAAAACCCAACCCGAACCAGAAGATCACCAACTGGGTAACGGGTCGGGTTTGGGTATGATAAATTACATGTGGGTCGGGTTCGAGTTTGTCAAAACCCGTACCCGACCCGACCCGACCCATTTACATCCCTACTTCTCTCTCCATCTTTTTGTTTTTTTTTTTGATCGGTGGAATCCTTCTTCTCTCTCCCTCTCTTTTTTTTTTCTTTTTCTGATTGGTTGAAGACGGCGATGGCCGCCACCGACCCCAACGCTTTCGCTAAAAAAAAATCGCATGAATATGAAACAAATTGAGCTTCGGTAATCAAATGAAAACGGTCGAAAAACGTCAGAAATCTGCCGCGAGCAGCCGCAATTGGATACACCTGCACCGCATCGAATAATTTGGGGATGTTTGATGCAATTGGAATGAAATTCATGGTCTTTGGAATGAAATTCATGATATTTATAAACAACTGAACGCCTGGATTTGGAGTTATTTCAGTATATATATACTGAACATATACATAACATATATATACAAAACATATATATATATATTCTGTATATGTTCGATATACATATATAAACCCAGAAAATGGTATATGTTCGGTATACATATGTTCGGTATATGTTCGGTATACCGAACATATATACAACATCAAATTTGAAAAAAAATCCAAAAAATATACAATATATATACATAAACCAGTTTCAAAACGAAGATAGTACCTGATTTTTTTCGGTTATATTTGTAATCGTGTATATTATGTATATTATATCTTTTGTAATTATGAAGAAAGATTTTTGTAATTGGCGTGATTGTAAGGAACATTTTAATTTGGTAATTGATTTTTTTTTACTCAACCCAAATAAATTCATTTTTTTTTTTATGTATAGATACAAATAAAAATACCTACCTTGTATGAATGAAATAATTTTAATATCTTGTGGGTATCTTAAAATTTTGCCCTGATGTTTTTATATACTTTTGCCACATAATTTTGAAAATTGAACATACAAAAGCGTGTACATATGAGGCACCCACTCCCTTCATAATAAAATAAAGTGAAAAAAAAAAAAGATAGGTAAGGTGAAGCACTTAAGTGAGTAATGCAATTGAAAAGCCAAAATTCCAATAAGTACGAAATTTGGACTTCGGAGTTGGACCACTATTTGTTTTTTCTTTTGAGGGCAGACTGCATGGTTGATGTTGATGGTCCTTGGTTTGCTCAACGATCGATTAATTTCCGGCGGGCGTTAATGACCTTTAATGGATGCTTAATTCTTGGGAAAAAATAATTAAAAAAAAAAAAATTTGCTGATGTGCATAAATCGAGTGATAAACTATGTGTTTGCGTATTTTGCCGAGTATGATCGTAAAGACCAACATCGGGTCGTCTATCAAAGGAATCTAGCTCGGAATCGAATTTGGACAATGAATGATTCACACAAAGAAAAAAAAAGTCCTAAACACTCTAATTGCAATTTAGTGGATGATTTAAGTGAAGTGAACGAAGAAGCAAACTTTAACAAGCAAGACCCAAATTTTGATGCACGCAAGTGTAGAATTTTTTTTATTATAAGATATAATACTTGTGCACCTAAATTAGTTTATTTGTTTTACCTAATAGCTTTCTTAGATCATATGTGAATATTGATTTGATTATATTTTTCATGTAATCTTGATTTGTATGCCTTATATAGCTCCTCGTATTCCACTATATGAATAATAGAATAACACAAGAAAAGCTGTCAATTCAACAACACCAAACAAGAGCGTGTTCGCGTGAGTTGTGTCTTGTGTTTTAGCATGATGACGTTGCAATCTAAAGAGTCATCGTGAGGTGAGCGGCACAGAGTAACTATCCCATTCTTACCAAGACCAGAAAAAGTAGAGTGATTATTTAAATAAATAAATTTACATACAAAGTAGCTATATGATATAAATTAAAAAATATTATAATTTAAGATGATTGAGTATTATATGTCATGGTCTCATTTTAAATACAAAACATGATAACAATAATAATAAAAAAAAAGTCAAAAAAATATTTGAAATTTAAAACATATTTTTTAAATTTATGTATACATTTTTTAACAACCACGAATATTGTACTCTTATTTTTTTAAATTTAATTAGGATTTTTTAATAAGGATATAGATTTTTGTTTTTTTTTTCGAAACGACATATTTTATAGAATAAAAACAAATAATTACAACTAGACATCAGCTAGAATAAGCCAAGTGGCCATCGAGTCGAATTTAGCAAGAGGACTACACACATCAGTGTATCCTAGAAATAGCCTCACTAACGCACCCACTACCACATGTAACTAAACATTCACACAAAGAGAAAATTAAACTTCTACGGAGAAGAATCAAACTTCTAATAAGAAGAATCACGCTCCTAAACAGAAGAATCACATTCCTAGCAAGAAGAATCTAACAGAACCGAACAACACCCAAAACAACACAAACAAAATAAATACATAAAACTAGAGTAAACCCTTCCCCCAACTGATCACAAACTGCAACGCCACGA